CCCCCGAGTACGAGCGGAGGAACACCATAGCGGACAGGCACAAAGACGACTGGAGAGAGAGTTCGAGGGATTCCTATTGGAGGGACAAAGATAGAGACAGGGCGCCGCCCAGGCGAGTCTTCGACCCCCAGACAGGGGAGTCACATCCGCTCCCTTACGAGAGCAAGGATCGCTATATTATTACGCACAAGGCCTCAGAGCCTCCTACCTTCAGAGGCTATGGTATCACAAAATATCTGGAGAAGTGGGAGCTTCACGCCAGCCGGAGACAGTGGTCGGAGGAAGAGATTATAGAGAACTTCCTATTTAATGTGGACCCAAGTCTCGGTAGAGAAGTTAAGGAAGCTCGACCGAAGGATGGGAAATGGACTACGTACAAGAAGAACCTCGTTGAGCTTTACAAATTGGAGAATAACAAGTATTCCATCAAGGACCTTGAAACAATGACCCAAGATGAAGATGAGAGCGTACGGGCATTTGGGATGCGTTTCCAGAAGATCTCCGACGTGCTGATGAAGAAGGGGAAAATCTCAGAGGTCGAGAGCTGTACTATCTTCATCGGACACTTATCCAAAGGTAGGCAAAAGAATACACTTAGAGATCTTCCGCGCGATAGGCTTGATTTCCCAGAAGTCCTAAAGCTCGCGATAAAGGCAGAGGCAGACGATTACAAGGACTTGGTGTGGAGAGGGATGAGGAGACGTGACTTCTCTCTCTACAAGAAGTATGCCACAGATAGATGTCCTGATTTCAAGGACTATCCCTGGTCGGAGAAGAATGAGGCCGTGACTGAGGAAGTGAAGGAGATACGGAACATGGTGAGGGGATTGACGAAACAGGTTACAGAGATTGTGACCACTACAAGGGTCACGGCCTACCGGGACAAACCTGGAGGGCCCTATTCACTTCGCTGGGACCGTAAGAACAATGATTCCTGGAGGAGTGTCGAGGATAGAAATTCTCGGACGCTGACTGATTATCGTACGAGGGGAAGAGAGAGAGACGATGAGCCATGGCGACGTAGGGATGATGAGATAGACTGAGACCGCAGAGATCGCGAGCCATTGGCGCGAGCAAGGAGGCTGGATGATTACCCGCGAAGCCCTCGCTATGAGGACGATCGGGGTAGAGGCGACTCCCGCGGCCGATGGGAAACAGATCAGGGCCGACGAGATGGATATAGGGACGACAGATACGAGAGATCGGACCGAGATGGATGTAGGGACGACAGATACGAGAGATCGGACCGAGACGGATATAGGGGCGACAGATACGAGAGGTCGGGTCGAGATGGCTACAGAGGTGGTAGGTATGA